CCCCTGGGGGCTTCACGTAGACCTCCAGGGAGAGCCGGCGGCTCTGCTCGTAGACGTGAAGGAGGCGGTTCCCCAGGGCAGCGTGGGCCTCAGCGTTCAGCAGCAGCGTCCGAAGCCGGTCGTAGACGTAGAGGAGGTAGTGGGTGTCCTGCCGGGCGTAGTCCACCATCGCCCCCGGCAGCGGGCGAACCCGCCAGTCCGCAGTTTGGTAGCGCTTGCACAGCTTCACCTGGCAGAAGTGATCCACGGCGAAAGCGAGGCTGTGTGGCATGTGAAGCGTCTGCAGGGCGATCGCCGTGTCGAAGAAATTGACCAGGTAGAGCGAGAAATCCTTCTGAAGCCAGCGCACATCCTCACGGGCGCCGTGGAAGACTTTGAGGATGTTCGGATTCAGGAAAACAGGCGCCAGAAGTTTCATCCAGGAGCGCAATCGAAGACAATCAATGATGCAATCCATTGTGCGCGTGCTGATTTGGACGAGACAGGTAAACCCCAAGTACGAGTAGTAATCATGGTGCTCCAGATCAATAGCAATCTCCCTGGCTTGCAAAAAATCGCTCAACACTAGCTGCTTCAGCTCATCAACCGTGTCAATAAACTTGAGAGGGCAAGAACTAAGCGGTAGAGGTGCGGTTTCCGGCCTAGGCATGAGCTGCTCCGCAGGTGGCAAAAAGTTCTGAATTTTATCGGCGAAGGGATGTATGTGGGCCTTTCCAGTATGCATGTTACCTTCCTCGTCGCTGTAAATCGGTACAAATGGGGCTTCGGAGTTATCCACGGGAACCTCAAAAGTCAACTGAGGCCGCATGACATGGGCTACGTTCGCGAATCCGCCATTTTCCATATTAACGCATGTTGACTCACCAAGACTAGAACCAAAAGTGACGTAAAGTTGTTCTTCGGAATTGATCTTTTTCCCCTCTAGGTTATCTAAAACCGTGTCCACGCTCTCCAAAAGTGAATCGATCGCCTCCATGGCGGTCACCCGTTGCTTATCAGTGAGCTTCGGCGATGAAGGGTCCTCAGGGGTGAGTGAGACGCGACGGCGCTTAGGAAGAAGTCGGCAACACTTGTCCATTAGACTCAAAAGCACGCCGCTGTGCTCGCGAACGTGCTTGCGAAAACCTACAAAAGCCATATGATACTCATGTTCATTAGATGGAAAAGCTGAAGCCAGTTTGCTGTAGTCCTTTACAGCACAGAACACCTCATCGACAATACTTTTGGTTGAGGGTAGCGTTCCTCTGTGATTGGTCATTTCTAATCGTATGCTAGAGAAAAAAAAAGTAAGGAAGATCCGTTTAAAAAAAAAACTGTTAGATTAATTTTATAGATTACTCGCTGTGAAAACTAATGCTGCTTTTGGTTTATCCCCCTTTTTCCTATTTCACACGATGGTGATGATAAAATTCCTCCTATTTGCACTAAGTTTCTTCCTTGAACAAAATGTCGTGAGGTTTCACGATAAAAACAACAACCCAAAACAAAAAGAGTTACATAAAGAAAGAACAATTTATTCAAGGTATATAAAAATAGTGTATCTAAAAATTCATCAAAAGTTTTACAAAAAGGCATAGTGTCATAAATCATCACAAAATTATAGATTAGTCTACCTAAAAGAGTAGAATCTATATTTCCTAAATAAATATAATATGAAGATGCCTGCCTTTTTTATCTTTGGAAAAGTAAGTCTATGATTTTGAAGAAATGTTTAGACCTTTAGTTGAGACTAATAATCGTAATCATTTCAATAATTATTATCAGAAAAAGGAATGCTATTGACCAAACGGTTAAATCGTAATGATTCTATGAAACCGATTATGTCAATTTTATACTATATGATTTAAGTCCTTAGTTGATGAGATGCCATTCGCATCATTTGATTTTATAATGAGCTCAGTAGCCTTATTCTCTACATGTCTAATGTTAAGGTTGAGTAAAGTATACATAAATCCACCTATTAGAGCAATACTAATTCCTAAGTAGCCAAGTGCCTCGGGAAATTGATGGAATATAAGGATTCCAAGAAAGGTTATCGGTACCTTGTTTAGTGTACCAACAACGCTAAACGTTGTCGGTGAAGTCATCTCCATGCAAAAGAAGACAGTAAATGCCATTTGCGCGCTCACTAAAATCATAAGTACGAGGAATATAATGGCTTTCCAGGATGCATTCCAAACTGCATTCATAAATTGTGGAAATTCGCTATATCCCATCAGCAAAAAGAAAGGAAGCGACAAGGTATTGCTGTAAAGTGTAGGGCCATAACGGCCAATTTGCGCTCCCACTTTATTCGTAAGTAATTTTATACTTAACATGTAACACACCGTCGTGAGGATGTTCAAAAATGTCCAAAAAAGGCCCCAACTCGTCACCCAGGGGTCGCCCTTCGCACATAAACAACTTCCAATAATCATTAAAACGAAAGAACCGTACATAGAAGTGTTTATTCGCTTACCGAAAATGTAGGAGTCACCCACTGCGGTTAAAATAATTGCTAAATTCTTGATAACAGTTTGTGCCGACACCGACATCATTTCCAAGCTTCTCATTGATGAAAGAAGCATTGCTACAAACGCGATACAAGGCAAGAGCCACAACTTTGCTACTGACATTTTGAAATTTTGGTAACTGATAATATTAGCTTTTTTTGCCAGTATGATCAGCAAGAGGGCGCCGCCATTTTGCATTAAAAGTAGACTATTTGGATAATTGAGCTCGTAGGTGTTCATGATCAGCTTATTGAGTATCGTCATCGATACACTACAGGCGCTGTATGCGATAACGGACACCACAGTTCGCTTTAACCTCGTTTCAGACTTCATCTTCGTAAATTACACCCCCAAACTTTTCGTGACGACCCTCTCTATTTTTCAACAATGCTGTCTAGTAACAAGAATCTAGTCTAAAAGTAGTAAAAAGCAGAAACTATTCAAAGGGATTTTATCATTTGATAAAAAAAAGTTGCTTATTCACACATCTTATCAAAGATCGATACAGACTCCTAAATATGGATAAAAAACACTAATTATTTATAGCGTTTTATGTTATAGAAGAAAGAGTCAGGTGAAAAAACGTACAAATGGATAAGATCGCACTTTCTGTTCTTCGAACTCAAATTAAAGACGTGATAAAAGGGATAAAAATCATGATTCACTCCTATCCCCAGACCTTAATATAGCATATTTCCCCGTAGGAAGGTCACTAAAAGATGCTTTGAATGGTTTGCTATATTCGCAGAGTTCAGAAATGTTATTAGTTCAAAGAAGCTTTCCTTGAAAAGTTCTCCAGTTTGTCTAGGCGTCGCTCAGAGCCCTTGTGGGATTTTAACAAGCTGATGTTTAAAAAAATTCAGCCAGACGAAATAGCATGTTGTGAAGTTCTACAGCAGCCAACAAAATCGAGATCCAAAGGAATAAGTAGGAGTAAATTACCCCATAAGTTTGCGTTAAACATGCACCCATAACTCTGCTAAGTTGTAATTAAGCTGAACAAACTTCTATTGTTTTTATTCTGAGGCAAACATCTCGTGGAATAGCAAAATGCATGCAGCTTCAATAAAAGCCTCGCTTGAGGGGAGGAATGGAAAGAATAAAGTGCATAATGAAGGTACTGAGCACGGGATATAGAACCTAGAAGATTACTAAAAGCTGTGTATTTGCCTATATCCAATTTTCAAAAAGTGAAGGAGAGTAGAAATTAATAAATAATGTTACTTTGAAGATTACCTTGAAAAAGTATAAATTTGATTACACTTAGCCGTTTCACAATAACCTTCCGGAACAATATCCAGTAAGGACAAAAGAAGAATACTCAGAATTTTCCACATTTCATTACACCAATACATAAGCTTGAAAATCCTTCCCATATATCTCTATATAAATATATAGGTAAAAAGTTAATTGCATCGAGAAAATTTAATTTATAGATGTAATAAACAAAAGAAGTTCCAGCTTTATACACATATTCTAACTTTGCCTTTAAAAGAAGAAGTGGCCATTTAGTCGAAAGAAATAAGCAATTTAATCGTATAAAACCCAAAAAAATAGGTGCTACAACGGCATATGTATATAGATGTAAATCGTGAATGAAAAAAAAAGAATGCCAATAATTTTTAATTACACAGCCTACTCCACACTTCAAGTTTACCCCTTGAAAAAAAGGGAAAACAGCAAATCCGGAGCACCTTTACTATACATTCACCTCCCTATAGCACAGAATGAAAATAAACCTGAAATGCACTCTTTCACCACTTGCGCATTTACATGTATTGAATGGACTTAAAAAGTTAGCCAATTTTACTTGTTTTTATGGGAAGCTTCTGTACATCCCCGATTGAATTTCTACTAAGTTAAAGCGTAGTGGGAAAGTATCATTCGAGAAATGTATATGAGCTTGAAATGCATGAATTGCTCAAAACACAAAAATACTAACAAAAGCATAACAGTGCATAACATTGGATTTAAAATTAAGTAGTATTCATGTTCGAGGTACTTTCTACACGGAGTTTCGTTACTGAATCCTCCATGGCAATACCATTCGAAATCAATGGAATTCCAGAAATCATGTATACAGGGATAATTATACCCTCTGCACTTTTTCAATTTATAGTATTCATCAAGCTCGTTTTGAATAATATTATAACGAATAAATTTAGAAAAGTTGCCCTGCTGCAAATACTGGACAACCACCACAACCATCATAAAGCATGCACCTATACTGAATGCACCAAACAGAAATCGAATTGTTGAAAGCTTTAGATTGTTCTGATGGAAAATTGACATAAAAAAAGAATGCGTTAGGCTAAACACACCTGCTGCAAGACATATAGAACCACCGACATAAATATACGGCCTAATCATCCTGATATACGGAGCAATAATAAATGGTGTGCAAAAACACAACGTAAACGTGTAAAAAATCATGAGCAATAAGCTAAAGGCGGCCACTATCAAGCCAATCATAAAGGTTTGTTGAGGAATATGGGTAAGGTAAAGGATGCCAGTTCGGCTAAAAACCCCAGAGGGCGGGACATACTCGCGCAGCGCGTTTCGATTAATGGTGATGGTCTTTTTCTTCGCCCGCTTCACCGCGCGTTCGATGTTCACGAGATGCTCGATTTCTTCTTTGGCGACCTTGGTGAGCAGTCCGTCGTCGATATTCGGGCAGCTGCAGCGGCAAGCGATAAAATCCCGCAGCGGGATGCGCTGTGGGTTGTTGTTCTGCACTGTGTGTACTACATACCGCCGGCAGAACATCCGCAAGCACTGCATGTCAAAATTTTTTCGTTTTGGATCTCTAAAAAGTGTAAAAAAGCTATTCGGTGAGTCGTGTGCGAAGCAGACGTTGTTGATGCTAGATCGCGAGAAGGTCATAAAAGGAATCGGACCCATGGCTAAAGGCTTCGCAAACACCTTACTGTACAGACGCCTTTCACTGCTGCTGACGATGCTGTTATATTCTACCATGCCTCCAAGTTGTGGGAGCTGTGGATCCGGCGGGTCAGGTGCCGCCGTCTTAATCGAAGTTAAACTCGCAGTGGCCGTTGACATCGGCTCAGACACCCAGGTAAATGTTTCCACTCCCTCCGATGTCAACCCCGCACCAAGGCTGTGCTTTTCTTTGATTTCGCTCAGAACCTTGTCGGGGTCCATCACATACGCCCCGTTTTCACTTCCCTTAAAGCGAAAAACGTGGATTAACATGACAGTATCCTTATTGATGGTCCCTACGAGGCCAACATACTTCATCATAACGAACTCCTGTCCGATCTTTGTTTCAGAATTAAAGCACACGCGGCGGCCGATCAGTTTGAGTTCCGGTAACGTTAGTGGTGGTAAGTTCTCCATCGGCCTGTCAAGGTAAACCAACGTCTTGTGAAGAAGCTCCGCAACCGATATGTTTTCCTCGTGTCGTATTCTAGAGTCTTGATAGGGGCTATTGGTTTGGCGCTCGGGAGAACGCGCCGCCGTGGTGGTGGTTAATTGATTACGATTGATTAACTGTCGCTGCATATTTGCATTTGAGTTCGTATGACTCGGTTGAAGGGTGGTATTCAACTCAGAGCCTGGGAAAGTCGGGGGGTCCGCTATGATGCCTTCGGGGATCTCATGGCTGTCCGTGGACACGGTATTTCCCATATTCGCCAGTTCATCGTCCACCCCCCTTGAATTGTGACGCGGCATGCTTGATACTAAAGGACACTTTAAATTATATTCTCTGTTAGTCTACAAAATAATACCCCCTTTTCCCCCTAAAAAAGGCTGTTTTGTGTTTTTTCTAAGACAAAAACAAGTGCTAAATACTCTTCAACGAAAAAAGTGAAGGAAAAAGTGTAAGCATACATGATATATTCCTTTAATGTATAGTGATATATATGAATAATGTCTACACATGGATGAAATATAAGGCAAGGATAATTGAATAGCCTATGTGAGTAACGTTATAGAATATATATTAATGATATAATTTTTAAAGAGTAAGTGTGTAAAAGCACTGGATAAGAATTTCTATTCCAACAGCTACGGGTTCTTTTCTTGATCATATTAACAAAGGCTTTACTGAATCGTGAAGGAGATTAAAAAAATGGTAATCAATATAAATAAACTGAATTGAACGTCAGAGGGGCAAAGATACTTTTTTCTTTTGTTCAATAAAGTAGAGCAATATTACTATTCATGTGAACGATAATTTAATGATAACAAAGGTATATCTATAGCATAGCATTGAAGATGTTAACTTTATTGAAATGGGAGCTCAGGGGAATGAAGGAAAATATATATATATATGGAGAAAAATTTCTGGCAAAAAACATGAGGAAAGTATCATATTGTTACACCCTTCAGATCAGCAAGTTAAAATTTTTCATAGTAATCATGGCGCATATTTTTTTTCACACACGCATATATATGTATATATATATATGCGTGTGTGTAAATATAATGTCTGAAGACAGGGTACTACCACCAACACCATCGAAATAGAAATTTACTTCTTCATATTCTCCCAATAAATTGTGCAACCATGTTATTCATATAATTCCACAAATTCAATTTTTTCTTTATTAGTAATCTCCCAAGAATAATTGTTGCATTTTCTCAAATGCAATAAAAATTATTGTACTTGCCGGGACTGCTTTTAGATAATTAGCTGTTAATCCACTAAAAAGAGAAGAGACTCCTTTGCTCCGGACCATCTTAACAAAGCAATCCGTCATACCTGCGTAATGCCGATTCCGGCCGTTCGAACCTTGTGTTTGCAAACGTGTTCGGACTACATTAAGAGGGTAGGATACTGTTTGAGAGATTCCCGATGCCACCAAGCCTGCAAGGCCAATTTCGGCTGTACTTAGTGCTGAATCGTGTCTGCTCATACCAAGCCACTGCATGCGGTAAATCATGATTGATTGCTGCGCACTGGTGTACAATCCCATTTCCAAGCCACGATAAATAATAATCCCAGCCATATTGGGTACGAAGCCGCGGTAAAATTCCCTAATTCCCCCCTGTTGGTATGCATTCTTTGCAATCTGCCTTACCCCACCCTTAAATTCGACGGCTTTTGAAACGCACAGGCGGGTTTTAATCACCTCCATGGGGTAGAGAATGCTCTGTGCGCCAATCCCAGCGCCCGCTCCGATGAAAAAGTTCACTACCAAACGCGGAACCTGTGAGAAGCAGATAAAGTAACTCATCGGTGGGGTGAGAACCGAGACCTTGGAGTCGATGGCGAGCCTATGACGACTGATTTCCCCGCTCCGCAGACCATTTCTCTCCATCTGCCGTATTGCGGCCTCAATCTGCTCCGTTTCACGGTCGATGTAGTCTTCGTAGAGCGAAGACCAGTAACGACGTAAGGAGAAGACAATCGCGAACTCCGGGCCCGCTTTGAAGCAGTTGATAAGATTCCCCCGCCAGAACGCTCGCCAACCCCCATCCGCCCTAATCATGCGCGCGATGTGAAAAAGCGAGGGGTGTCGGCGGGCAGAGCGGGTGTACCGGCCGTGTTTCTCGATAAGATGCCCCTCTTGCAAGATGATTTTAATTCGGTCTA